AAAGTACAATATGATATAAAAATTGAACATCCCAAAGATTTGAGTCACTATATCAAATCGTGACAACCACTTTTTTAAAAATAGTGGACAAAATCCATTACTGAAAATATTGTACAACACAAAATCGAACATTAATCATGTAATACAAATATTTTCAATAGAGTACAAATATTTTCAATAGCGTACAAATCAATCTAGACTCATAGTCATTATTAAAAAAATTTGACGGATGGCTAATAATTAGTACACTGCTTATTATTAAGAAACACGTGAATATAAAGAAAATATTGCCTAATTCATTTTTCGAATTTAATATCACACCCAAATTCTGCGATAACAAAATCATTTGTCAACTACTACAACAATATAATAAAATCAACAATAAAATAAAGTTTATCTTAATCCATATAAATCTACATATATCAAATATAACCCACAATTACAAACGCGCGCATTTAATTGACATCTATATCAGTTCCCATATAAAAATTGCTATAGCAAAAGTCCAAAAAATCTAAGCAAAACTGAAATAAATCAAGATGATTTGTTCAATTTATCCTGTGCAAGGGCCAAATTGCACGAAATTTAAGATTTGACTCAAAAGTAGCTGAAAAATCTAAGATTTGTTCAACATATAAGCCTTTTACAAAGGTTGTGAAATTAAAGGGTAAATAATTAATGATCAATTTTATTAAATCAAACGATCAAATTTTGAGTCAAGGAAGACCACAAACAATCTAATAATATAACATTTTTAACATATGAATCGGTCCAAGAGAATACAATGCAAGTAGAGTCCATCTATGCTTGTTAATTGTTTTTCTCTTTTTTGAAAAACAAAGAAGTGAAACACAAAAAGACATTAAAATGATCATCTATAGACATTAAAGGATCATAAACATTGTACACTAGTTTTTTTAAGTGGCATTCTGAGATAAACATATTTCATCATTAAATGATGAACCACCGTTAGGATTCCATCAATCAATTAAGGAATAGTTTCAAAACTATTGAATTTTTTAATCAAACTGCCCTTGAACTAAACTTGCAAGTAATACATGAAGTACGAATTTCACGTGACAAAAAAATTTGAGTCAAAGTGTAACACAGCATTTTGAGAGGCTTTCAATTTCTTTTAATGGCAAAAATTGATTTATTTGCTCAAACATGCGGGATAAAAGTTCCTGACTTTACATGTTATATTGTACAGAGAAGAGACAATCCAAAAGAAGCATAAGTTTAATTAGAAGACATATTTAAGTCGAAAAAACCATATTATATACACACAGAAACAAACAAAGAACATGAGATACCATACATCTTGCACAGTAAATTAAAACATTTTTCTAAACAGTTTTCTTTCTAAAATCTCCTCTGCCAACTTGCTTCTCTTTGACAATTTTTCTCTTCCAAAGGTGATTCTTCCATCATCTAATCTCCATTGCATTTAATTATAAATATTTAAAATTTGATCTGTTTTTAAACTTGATGCCATCCAACAAAATTTGCAAGATGTGGTCCCATTTCTTTGTGACCACATCTATATTCGTAGTTGCTCCAATTAAAGTGGACACAATTATATATTATCAATTTATGAATAATGCACACGGAAGACAATATAACAAATATATGGTGCACATAATTATGAATTATCAACTTAAGAATAAACTGTATAAATGAACAACTGCTGCGAGATAGTTTTAATTACCATAATCGCACGAAAGTTCAGTTTGACTTTGACAATCATGTTAGAACCCAAAACTTTGGACGTGTAACAAAAAACAAAAATTAAACACCAAATTAACATCAAATCAATACTTACATAGGCATTCACTCCATGCGGTGCAAAGTTATCCCCCTCCCCCCCCCCCCCCCCCCCAAAAAAAAAAAAAAAAGGAAATAAGCATTGGGTTCAATGTAAAAACAGAGGAATTCCAATAATCCCATAATCCTAATTCCAATAGTTAGTTTCAATTAAATACTAATTCCAATAATCCCAAAAACTAATGTATGCACATATCATAATAGATATACACATCATAATAGATTTGGCAAAAAAAAAAAAAAATAAATCTAGGTAAACATAAAATTTGAATAGAATTCAAATTAACATAATAAAACCACATTCAAATTGAAGGTAATCAAACCAAATTCAAAGTGAAGCTAATGAAACCAAATTAAACAAAATCCAAGAGATTGTGCGGGTGAAGGAAAGGGTGTGTGAGTGTGTGATGGGTATTTGCGTGGGTATTATTATTTTTTTTTTTTGGGGGGGGGGGGGGGGGGGGGGCTTTTCTTTTGGGCGGTGGGTTTCGTGGAGGGAAGAGTGTGATTGTGGGGGGTAGGTTGCGCAGAAGGGAAGAGGAGAAAGAGGGGTCTACGTAAGAGGGGAGTTTTTTTGTGGGGGGTGGTCTGTGCAAGAGGGGTTCAAAATCTTTTTTTAGAAAATTTATTTACAATAAAAGGATATTCATGTATTTTTATGTCTTAACTGAATTTTTTACAAAATATTTTTTCTTATATACTTATTAACAATTAAGTCCAATTTCGTATATTAACTTGTGAATGCCCCTACATTACTAACTCATACAAAATTTAAATTCATTAAATTTTAAACCAAAATTTTTTTAAAAAAAAATTAAATAGAATCAAAATTTAATTGGGGTGCTGCTTGGCGACGCCTTGGGCCTTGGGTCTTGCTATGGTGGGCGACGCCTGTCTCACAGCACTGACTTTTTGCTATGGTGGGCGACGCCTGTCTCACAGCAATGACTATTTTTTTTCGTTGTAAGGGGGATACGACGAACACTAATAAGGTAATCACGTGGACCACTGTGAGAGAGAGAGATTCTCGAGAGTGATGTGTAAAGTCTCGCACCATAGCCTTCTTCCAATAACTCTCCCACATAATTCATTAGCGTGCAAGTATTTGATTTCAACGAATCAATAATTAATATTATTTAAACTTAATTTATTTAATATAATTTATTAATCAAATTCATTACAACCATTAAAATTGATAATGAATTTTAACAAAATATTTGGGTCACAATGAATTAAATAGTTATGAATGATTAAATTAAAAAATTATGGCAATATATTAAGTCAAACTAACAGCGCACTTAAAATATTTGATACTTGCAATAAAGATTTCTAAAATGTAGATTAAACTTGGACAAAAAAAAATTCACCAATTTCATCTTGGACAATTTTATGTGTTTGGTTCTAACAAGTTTTATGATTTATGATTCACCAAACATAACAAGTTTTATGATTCAAATTGCTAAAATTAGGACTGATAAGTGAACCGAGTTTTGCGACTTTAAACTAAATTTGTTGAGCTCATTTTTATAAACGAATATAAAAAATTGATCAAGATCAGTTCGATTAGAAAATAAGTTGAGTCCGAAACGAATCGAATTCGAATCCGAAGTGAATCTGATTAACTTGATTATTTTATACATAAATGAGTCGATCCTTTTTAGCTTGTTTTTTAGACGTGTTTAAAACATTATTCAAGTTCGATTCATTTAAAATACGAGCCGACCCTTATGCTAACCCCAACCGAACATAAGAGGAGATATAGGAATTATACTTCCTGTTTGAGTCGAAATAGCTCCTGTCCTGGGTGTTTCCCAGAGCTAGTGCTCCCATACCACCTGTCACGGCGTTATTGTCACGGCGTAAGTCCTTCAAGCCTACAAACGTCGGCACCTGCGAACGGATCGCTGTAGTAGTATTAGCTTTAACAACTTTCAGCAACGTTTGGCTAGCTACCGAAACCCAACAAGATTTTCTGCACTAGGGCTTAAAGGGTCTTCTTAAAAACGGTCAAGATTTTGGTGGCTTCAGATCAAATTCACTTCCACGGCTTCTTGTAATATTCCTAACAAACCAAAGAAATCTCCAAACTTGCACTGCCATGGAAAGAGAGGACTCTTGCCGGCGTTGGCCGGTTCTGGTTTATCAATCCAGTTGTGTGTGGATATTCACCCCTTTACCCATCATCAGCCACCACCACCACCACCAGCCCCACCCACCCACAATCACATCCACCAGCTCCGCCCATCACAACCACCCACCAGCCAAAACCATCGCACCACTGCCAGTACCAACCACCAATCGAGTCCCAAACCCCACACCTCTTTCTCTATCTTCCTAGCTTCTTTTTCCTTTAATTTACTATATGTGCATGTGTGTCTGTATTATGTTGAATAACATGTGTGATTTTGTAGACAATCAACAAAAGCAATTGCAACTACGGGACACATGTAATTCTATAATATATATTGATCTTGATTTCCTTCAAACATGCTTGAATATATGTAAGGCATCACATATTCAATAGCAACAGCAAAACATCCACAACAGGAAGAAATAAGAAGATCAGCAACAGTACCCAACCCATATATATAATCCCAGCTAGACCCAGCTAGCAATGACAACAACTACCCCAAACAGCATCAGAATATATTATAATCAGCAACCCATTGTATGGCAATGGAAGTATGGAACACACCAGCCACAACATAAGAAGAACACTCGGTCATTCAGAAAATAAAGGGCACTATACACACACACACACACATATATAGAGAGAGAGAGAGAGGGTTATATATAGTTATATGTCTTCATTTTGGGAAAAACACGCACGGATGATGCGTCTGCAAGAGAGTTTCAGGCTACGGAAGAAGCCGGCGAAGATCCGACGCTTGATGGATCCCCTGACTGGAATCACACAGGTGTGCATGTTGGTCTTCAACCTGCTGCTTTGTGTTGTAGATTCGCACTCCTTGTAAGAATTTAACTTTATTTTTTCAGTTGTATCCATTGCCAACTTCTCCATACCAGGATTTGATGTGTGTGTGTGTGTGTGTGGGAGGGGGGGGGGTGAGAGAGAGAGGGGGGACCAACTTGGGGGGAAGAGAAGAACTGAAGTGGGTGTTAAAAGAGAGAGAAATGAAAAGGGTCAAAGGATCCGGTCAAAGATAGAAAGAGAGATGTGGATGTTTGAGGGAGATGACCTGGACAAACAAGTGGGTGCTAGAGAGAGAGAGAGAGGATGGCGTAATGCAGTATGCTTCGAAGAAATTGATGAAACTGAGGAGAGAGAGGATACAAAATTAGAAGAACAAGCCGAAGGTGGGGACGTGGAACAAAGAGAGGTAACCAATTGAAAAATTCATTTGCATTCCATTATTTATTAATGAGGATATTAAGGAACCATAATAAGATGTCCCATATTAGAGGAAAGGGTGTCGGCGAGGAAGAGGGGCGGGCGGGCGGGAATGTTTAAAGTCTCGTCTGAGCGACTGTATCCTTCTTCCTATGTCTTTCCCAAGTGGGAACTTCAACAGTATCATCCGCATATCAAAAATTATAATTTTGTAAGTTATAATTTTAAAAAGTATGATCAATAATGAAATATTAAGATTAGTACCATGATTTTTATAATTGATTATAAGTGTCGGTGATCGATCATCACCTTCTTTAAGTTGTTGTCACTTTTTTTTTAAAGTTATAATTTTACTCATAAAAAAATAATAATTATCGGTATTGTATGATAGTAAGAATGTGCATATAAAACGTAAATTAAGCATATAAAAACTAGGCACCAAACAAGTCCAAAGTTAAAATTTAAATTTTTTGTTGTCATTTAATTCTTTCTTCCTATCCCAATTACACCCGCGATAAATTTGAAAGATGTGGAAGCATGACATCTTTTAACTACCGTATGTGGAAAATCAAACTCACATTCAACCAATTTTAGCTTGCGATGAGAAGAAAGTTTTAGGCTTGTTTTAAATATTAATTTAAAAATTTTACTCATTCAATACCGTCACGTTAACGTTATATCATTTGGTCCCATGATTTTCTTAATTGGTCTATTATTACTATCCTTGAGGTTGATGGGTGTTTGTTTGGGGGAAGGGGGGGGGGTATGCACATAAAAAACAAAAAGAAACAGGTAGGTGGAAGCATTAAGAGGGAAAAGAGTTTAAGAAGAAGGTGTTGTATATCAAAAATGAACCCGCAACCACTCAAGTTGATAATTTCATATGACTTGTATTATCGTTTGAACTTGAATTTTTTTTTTTTTTTTGGTACAATCGAGCTTGAAGTTTGAAGATCACATTGCAATGTATATCAAAAGAAGGTGTTGTATGTATATTTTTATAATATGACAGAATTACTTACTATCTTTTTTTTTATATCATGTAATTTAGAATAAATAGTAACATACATTAACAAAATAGTAATACATAAACTGTGATAAATAAACTGATCCTTTTACAGATCAGAAACTGAAAATGAACTTTATAAATTAAGGATAGTATTTGGCACTATGTTCTTAAAGTAAATTTTGACCCCACATTTGGTGCTTAAAAAAATTTCAACGTCTGGTCTTAGGATACAATAATCTTCATTCAATTTGAAAGTAACACTACAATTTAATTGTCCTTAGAATCAAAAATCTATTATGTATTCTCAGAAAATACAAATTATCAATATCAAAATTATGAATGTTATGATTGTCTAATTCATAATGTTATAATGAATTTGAATTATTTATAAACATGATAGTGACTGTTTTGAACAGCCATGATGTGAACTGATGCAACTTAGAAGACACCTTAATGTTTGTCAAATGAACCGACACAAAGTTCAAAAATTTGGATTGCATGAAAAATTGGAAGAATATCGCTGATGCTTTAATATTTCAATTTTTTTATTTTTAATAATACAACTTTTATTCTTTTGAATAAACAAATTTCTCCAAATAATTTTAAAACAATTTTTCTTACGATTTAAGTTTTTTAAATTCCCTGTAGTTCGACCTAGAACTACCATAAAATATGTCACTACATGACAATTTATATTTGGGTAATTAATTCTAAAATTCTAACAAGTTTTGGAGTTATTGCCGGGGAGTTGTTGGAAAACACGAATCACATCGTCATCTATTAAGATTTGTTAGATTTGAGATTCATCACATATTCGATAATCTCGTTTCCTATTTTTTTATAGATCCAAATAACTTTGCTCGTGAAAATAAAAGAGTTCAGACAAGCTATTTTGGGTGGATTATATTGGAGGAACAATGTGAGAGAGAGAGAGAGAGAGAGAGAAAGAGAGAGAGAGAGAGATATGAGGGTGATGTTTAATGACTCACACCATGGGCTTCTTCCTATAACTTTCCGACATACTTCGAAACCCATCAACATAGGATTAGTCAACATAATCCCCTTACCTATCACGACTAGTAGCGCAATTTGAGCCAATCAATCAAAATTCCAGTTCCAAATATCAAATAATATTATTTAAATTTAATTTATTGATAGAATTTATTAATCTAATTCATTATAACTATTGATCTTAAAACCTGCAGCACTGGAATATGAGATGATTTGATAATCCCCAAGAAATTTTTGCCAAAGAAGTCAAAGAGATCAGAGGGGCTCTAATAATCAACTCTTCGATAATAAAATCAAAAAAAGTGTGATCGACTCAATTTTAACTAGTTGAGCTTAATTGTTTAGTTTAAATTCTTGTTTAAGCTTGACTCTCAAAAACACTTACGAGCAATTTAAAATTTGAGTTGGATTTCTAAATAAAGATTCTTAAAAATTAAACCCAACAACCTAACAAACAATCTCAAAATAATTAATTTCTCAATAAAAATCTTGCAAAACAAACATAGAATTTGATCAATTTAGGTTCATTTCTCTAATTGAGTTAATTGTACTAATGTCCCCAAAGTATAGAGTTTGTCTCATTTTTATCTCTAATATTTTAATTGTATCATTTATGTCTTTGAAGTATTGAATATGTTTTTATATGGTTCCTAAAACAAAAATATTCGGATTGCTAGCAGTTTTTTATTATAATTTTCTCACGCGATACCTAAATATAGGCAAAAAATAATTTAAGTATCTCTTGACCAAAATTTGAATAACTCATGATCAAAACTGTGTAATTTGGATAAAAATTTAAGCATGAGTTATCCAAATTATTTTTTTACTCATATTTTTGTATTACGTGATAAATTTATAATAAAAAATCATTATTAATCTATATGTTATCTGCTTGATGCACCACATAAAAATATATTTAATAATTCAAAAATAAAAATAATGTAATTAAAATATTATAGACTAAAATGAAACAAATCTCATATTTTAAGGGCTTTTAGTGAAATTAATCCTTTCTAATTTTGACAAAGCTAAAACCGGATGTCGAAGCAGTTGGAACCGATATTTTCCAGCTTGTGGTTTTCTTCAAGTTGGTCCACAGAGCAACCAAGCAGCTCATTGGGTTGCTTAGCCCGAGAGTTAAATTGGCCAGGTTTAAATTTACTAAATTCATATTCGATGGATCATCGTGTCATTTTAGATTGGTGTTATAATATAATAATATTTAGTTGATTGACATTGTGTTTTGGCGGAACTCCAGTGTGGCTCTTCAGCCTCCAGATTAACACGTGGAACAATGAAGTCATTGGGATGTCCAAAGGATGCTGAAGAGGTGATCCGAGGTATGGTGACACGGAGTAGCCGAGTACGATAATTGATATCGTATTTAATGCGATGTGACATCACATTTATGACAGAATGAGTGATAGTAATTGGGCAAATAAATGCACGCCTGCTAGCAACTGCCCTCTAGGAGTCTAAGTCTACTGTCATGATGACTAAAACATTAATGACTGATGCGCTGAGACAACGCGATCGGCTCTCCCGAAGAACTATTCCGCCGAGTATTCAATGCTCAGTTGGTGTCAGATGCCGACCTGCTGGATTTGGTTACTCGGGGAGTGGCATAAGTGCTCGGCTCATAGCCGACCTTTTACCCCATTTTTCTAGCATTCAATAGGAGGAGACGTAAATGGGAAACACTCATTGCACGAGGAATGGTGCATCAGATGTGAGATGTCCAGATGAGACTGAAAATATTTGACAATCATTGCTAATTCAGGTATAAATATTCCTCAGAAAAATGGACAAAGGTACGCAAACTCGAACAAGAACAGGTCCATTAAGCAAAACCCTTCGATTTTATACTGACTTAAGTTTCGGAGGGGATTAGTCGGGCACACGCCTGGCCCCCTCCTTTTTTCTGACCCTATTATTTTAGGTTCGTCAGTTGGGAGATCGCTACCTTACATGATTGTAGGAATTATCCCGTGCAATTGGCGCCGTCTGTGGGAACGAAAATATTTTTATTTTTTTTGGTCGCAATCGTTTGATGGTGAACACTCGATCTCAGGGTGAGGGAGTAGGTGTACGGGTCAGGAACGCAAAGCCTGTCCGGTTTCCAATGGTTCTGGAGCTGGGTTCATTAGGCCAATCAGATGGGCTGGGGCATTCTTCGCAAATAACGCTCCCTATAGATCAATGCCTTGGGGAGCGTGACCTCAGGGCCCATGACATCGTGGAGATGGTGGATAAGCGGATGATCAAATGCATTAAGCAGCTCAAAAAGGAAAACGCCAAAGTCCAGCAACGCCTTGACGATTTCAAGCAGTCAGCAAGCACGGGTGAGCATAGCCGCTGGGTCGAGGACCAAGTGCCCAGCCATAACCTGTCCAGGACCCCCTGCATGGGCCCTCCAGGAAGGATGGGTTAGGCACTCGCCTGAGGGGCATGACCGCCAAGGAGCGTTCTCGGCCTTCAAGGGACAGTCGGAATCAGGCCAGAAGGCAAAACCTGTCCAGGTGGGACCTGCGTCGAGGGATACCTGAGGGCGTTGGAGCCATCGAATCTCACGCGGAGTCTATACCTCAAAAGGCCTCGAGAGGATAGATCAGCCAGGGATCCCTGGGTCCCCTTCATTGCTCAGCGCGACCATAAGCCCGCGTTCCACTCCGACGAAGTTATCTCGCCGTTCGTCCGGGCTATCAGGGAGGCCGATATGCCGAAAATGTTTACCGTCCCACGATTCAAAGTCTACGATGGAAAAAACCGATCCCGAGAGCCACCTTCGGCAATACAGATAATTGATGTCAATCTACGATACTGAACAAAATGTGTTGTGCCGAGTTTTTTCCATGAGCTTAGGGGACACCGGCATGAGGTGGTTGAGAACCTTGCTCCTAAGAGCATTGGGTCCTGGAGACAATTGACAGAGCTCTTCCTAGCCCAATTCATCACCAGCAGTAAGAAAT